GTGGACTTGGGCCCCGAAGGGAGGGTCGCCGCCACAACCCCGAAACCCCGGGTGAGCCAAGAGCTGACGCCGAACCAGAAAAGGGACCTAGAGCAATTGCTCAAAACATACCAGGACGTGTTAACCAACCAGCCGGGGCGTACGACCCGGGCCTACCACCACGTAGACACCGAACCCGGGAAGACGGTAAGAGAACCCCAAAAATTAAGAACCCTAGGAGACATCGCACAACTACACCAACGGGAGGCCCAAGCCCGGCAGGCTGCCCATTACAACGTCGGAGCACACCTGAGGACCTTCGAACCCGGAGATCGAGTCCTGCTCCTGTTACCCACACAAGACTCAAAGCTGTTGGCAAAGTGGCAAGGTCCCTTCGAAGTGGTCAGACGAGTGGGCGAAGTTGACTACGAAATACGCCTGGCTGGGCCGCGGAGGGAAACAAAAATCTACCACGTCAACCTCTTAAAGGCCTGGAAGGCCAGGAGGGACTAACGGGGGACAGCATCGACGCTGACGTGGACTTGGGCCCCGAAGGGAGGGTCGCCGCCACAACCCCGAGACCCCGGGTGAGCCAAGAGCTGACGCCGACCCAGAAAAGGGACCTAGAGCAATTGCTCAAAGCGTACCAGGACGTATTAACCGACCGGCTGGGGTGTATGATCCGGGCCTACCACCACGTAGACACCGAACCTGGGAAAACGATAAGAGAACCTGTTCGGCCCCTACCGCGGAAGGTCTGGGAGACAGTAAGGGAGGAGGTTCAGAAGATGCTCCAATGGGGCGTGATCGAGGAGTCCCACAGCGACTGGCGGAGCCCGATCGTCTTAGTTCCGAAACCGGACGGCTTGGTGCGTTTCTGTATAGACTTACGGAAAATTAATAACATCTCACGTTTCGACGCATACCCTATGACGAGGGTCGACGAACTTTTAGATCGCCTGGGCCGCGCCCGCTATCTGTCCACGATAGACCTGAGCAAGGGGTATTGGCAGATTCCCCTCACCACTACCATGAGAGAAAAAACAGCCTTCTCTACACCCTTCGGGTTATACCAGTTCGTGCGTATGCCGTTCGGTTTACATGGGGCGGCGGCTACATTCCAGCGGCTGGTAGACAAAGGGCTAAGAGACCATCGAGCATACACCGCCGCATATATCGACGACATCGTCGTATACAGTGAGACCTGGGAGGAACACCTAAAAAGGCTCCAGGCCATCCTGAAAACATTGAAGGAGGTGGGCCTCACGGCAAACCCTAGCAAGTGCCGCTTCGGCGAACGAGAAGTAACGTACCTCGGGTACACAGTGGGACGAGGACAGGTAAGGCCCCTCGTCGACAAAGTAGAAACACTACGGGGCTACCCCCACCCCAAGACCAAGAAACAAGTCCGTCAATTTCTGGGGCTGGCCAGCTATTATAGACGATTCGTGCCACACTTCGCATTGCTAGCGGCCCCTCTAACAGACCTGACCCAGAAAACACGCCCTAACAGGGTGGAGTGGACCGAGGCCTGCGAAAGAGTCTTCCAGACACTTAAGAGCCGGTTGACTGAGACACCAGTCCTAACACAGCCAGACTTTGACCAACCCTTTATCGTCCAAACGGACGCAACAGAAGAAGGGCTGGGGGCGGACATGTCCCAGGAGCGGGAAGGGGCCGAGCACCCGGTAATGTGTATCAGCCGCAAACTATTCCCCCGCGAACGTAAGTACTCAACCATTGAGAAGGAAGCCCTAGCAGTAAAATGGGCAATAGAGACGCTCCGATATTTATGGGGCGGCCGATTTACGGTAATGATTGACCACGCCCCACTCCGGTGGCTACAAAATATGAAAGATGCAAACACTAGAATCATGCGATGGCATCTTTCTTTGCAGCCATATGCCATATGCGTTCGACGTGGTCCACCGAGCCGGAGCCCAGCATGCAAATGCAGACTTCTTCTCCTGAAAAGACAGCCACGAGGAGAACCCGGAGCAGGGGGTAAAGGGACCTCTAAAGGGGGAGGTGTGTGACGGGGCAGAGGCGCCCCGCACTGAGAGCCCCCGGCGGACCGCTTGTCTGGCGGCGCTCAGGGGAAAGCCGGAGAGCCCCGAACGGGGCAAGCCGCGTCTGGTCGTTCCCGTGCAAGCCGCAAACCGCTGCGCCAGCTGCTCGGCGGCCGC